CAAGAGAATTGAGATGACTTCCAGGTTTCAGGCTAGGGAAACTGTGTGATGCTGGGCATACAAACCAGGGAAGAGCAGACACAGGCAAAAAATGGAGAAGGAAATGGACAGTTCTATGTGTACTGAGTTTGAGCTATCTGTTACATAGAATAGACCCTCTATAATTATTCTTTGACTGAGAGAGTCTCTTAGTCCTACAAAACAACACCTCACTCTTAAAAAAGAAACAGAAACAGCTATTTCCTAACAATTGGGACTCACATAGAAAGAGTGCTGAAGCCTTCTGAATAATGTTATATATCTATTTGAAATTAAGATAGTAAAGGCTCAGTTCTCATTCAAAGTAGTCCTTTACTAAGGGTGCCATTCTGACCCAAATCCTGATACTGAATCCAGCACAACTGGCTGGATCTCCTGGTTCTGAATGATGGAGTTGTAGCTGATTTTCCCAGATCCTCTGGACCCTGTGCCTACACCAGCATCTACAAACAACGTTAGCACCACAATACTCAATGAGCCCATCAATCTCCTAGCTTGCCTCCGTCTGCCTCTAATTTGCACCACCCTACGTCCTCCAGCCCTAATAGTCGTCTAACTGGCTTCCTACAGCACCTAGCCAGACACTGCCTCTGGGAGTGTATAGGCAGTTGCTTTTTCTGGTTGGAAATCATTTCTACTGTGGTTCATCAACCACATTAGGCCTACCAAAGTATATTTTTGTTTTTCTCCCCCAAACTTCAGTGAGACACTGAATTCAGTGCTTAGTACGTGAAAATACTCAGTCAATATTTGTTGAATGAAAGAATGGGTGATAAATATATTAAATGAAATCTATTAAAAATAAACCTATTATTGCTCTATCAGTGTACCTTATGCTTCCATACATGTGAATTCTTAGCAGCACCCATACCATTTATAAATATGTCTCATCTAGAAAAGAACACAAATGTAGTGGTGAATACATTTTCACTAACCAATTGGCTGTAAGCACCTAAATTCATCATATATGCATATAGCTTAAGGATTTTATGCACATATATCAAAGAGTGGCACACATGTCAACTCCTTTTGTGACACAACTTTTCAAAAGTAATATAGTAATGATTCTTTTACAGACATGGAAAACACAGCAGGAAAAAGAACAACACATTTTTAATTAGAAATTTCAGATTTACTCTTAATTTAATTCAGCTGCCCAGCAGCCTTGATTAGATTTGCATCATGATGTATCTTCAATATGATCTATTTTCATAAATGTAAACTTTCCTGAATACGGTTCTGATGGATCCTGACATTTTAAAATATGTCCTATTATCCTTTTCTGTGCAGTAGACCAAGCATAGAGTGCTCGCTCCTATATCATTGTCACCACACTATCAGACCAGATGGCTACTTCATCACAGAATCAAGAATTGGGAATAATTTATGCTGTTCCTTGCTCTAGAATGTGAAAATAGAAAGCATTTGCTGCACACATCCTCATGAACAGCAGCTCGACCCAGGAGCAGAGCCTCGTTGGCGGGTGTTTGGTGTTATAGCTGCACTGTCTTCAGGAACTGGATTTCATTTTGTGGAGCCCTAGACTCAGGCACAGTGAAAATTGTCATAACACGCAGGTTGATGCTTCACTCCATAACCAAATTTTTTAAAATCAAGCCAAGTGTGTCTCTTTGTTAAGGAAAACAAGTTGCAATAAAACAGTTCTAAAATGAGAAAGATTGTATCTGAACCCTCCATTGTTTCATAGTCAAGGCTTTCACCCCTTCATAGGGAAAAAATACAAATATTGGCTTAATATTCGGAGCGGTTGTTTTTGTGTCTGTGAACATTAAATGTTAAAAACAGAAGAGCTATTTATCCTCAGCCTGCTGAACAGAACAGTGGAAATTTCTCTTTATTGGTCTATAAATAAGCAAAGTCTGAACACACTCTTTATTGGGAGAAGAGCCCGGCAACTCATTACACACACCAACTGGCTCATCAGGATTCCTTTATCTTATGTTGCCATAAGTGTGCAGACAGAGACATAGACAAAAGAGTGGGTGTCCAAACTATGAAATGTATTTAACCCTAGGACTGCCTAGCATCCCCCAGGTAAAAGAAAAATGCATAGATAAGCATAAATATTTACAGCTAACAGGTGTTGTTGAGGAAAAGCTAATGGTATAGTGAAGAATCATTTAACCAAGCTCTGAAGGGATGAATCAAATGGTTGTTGGTTTCTTTGTTATAAAGTCACTTATTATCAGCCAGGAAATGTGGTACCTTTGTCTACATAGTACTAAAAACAAGTAGTATATTCAGTAAAAACAAAAATGAATAAATAAATAAATAAAAGAAGCATATAATAGAAAAACATCTCCCAGAATATCGATGAGGATGTGTATTTGATTCTGCAGACCAAAGACCTGGTTTCTTTAATTTTTAATACATTAACTATTTGTGGTTATGAACATGTAGAAAAGCTATTGAAAATGTCTCAATAATATGGGCAATATAATCTGCCCTTCCTATTTGGACCTGTTTAATGTGTTTGTGTGTATTAACTTTTTAAGATTAGGTAGTCCACAAAAACAGACAGTTGCACTAGGGGAATTTAGTTGTTTAGGCAAAATCGGAAGGCTATCAGTGTGAAAAGTGAAAACAGGCAGAGAACTTAACATATTAGAGACAACAACAGACAACTAGCGGTGATCCAGTTCTCTTGCCAAGGAAGGAGCTGTGTCTGCCTGTTCCCTGGATGTGATCTGAGGCTTCTACTCATATTAATGATGATACCTCTTCCATCAATATCTTGGATTATTACCAGTGTCTGGGAGAAATTTTATTGGCTGCTGCAGTTCATTGAGAATTAATTGATATGACATACTTACTCTACATGAACTTGGAAAAAAGTCTACTGAGTGAGTGATTTAATTAATTTTATGTTAATTATAAATTATGCCAGGAAACGCGATTATGGATGGACTTGTTTCCAGCTCTCAGATTGCAAGTGCGAGCAGTTTGTACTTCCAGCATGCTGGATACCCTGACTTTGACTGACTAACACCTTAGGAAAAGCATTCAGTTGGCGTTCTCACTAATAGTTGCAATGTGGCATGTCTTAAACAAATTAGGCCAGGAGGAGGTAGCAAAATGCTCCACTCATCTTTCTTTGCAATTGAACCAGCATTGTGAGAGACAACCTCCAAATTGGGTAATTTAAAATTTTTACTCACTCGGTATATTTTTAAATAATCTCCTAAGTGTTTCATAAAACTGGAAAGGAGGCAGGGGAGGGGAGGAGGGATTACTGCTAAACCAAATGCAAAAATGAAAGATTCCTTTAGAGAAAGAATCTACAAGGGGCTGCGGGCTGCACATGAAGGCAGCATCCTGAAGAACTCTATTTTCATTTCCTGTTCCATCCTGCTGATGAGCAGATTCCTCCGAGCTCCTCTCCGTGAGCACGCACTAGTACTTTTATTAAAAGAAGTCCATCAGAAGGAGGTAGTTGTTATGCAGAAGCAGTAACTCACATAATGGGGGATGGCATTTCTTTCCACTCTTGCTGGTCCGCTGGTTCTAATAGCAACCTGGAGCTCAATTTCCTCCTCAAGAACATTGCATTTCATGTGGAATGTCAATTATTAAAATGCAGTGTCCCGTGTCTTACTTCTCACTAGATGAATTCATTTGCAAAACTTGCTAATTTATGCAAATGAGCCTTAACCTGTAACTGCCTGGAATCTATTTCATCCGTTCCAGTTTTTGGCAGCTCGGAGCCTAGATGTCTGAAGGAAATCCATGAATGCAGAATTTGTCAGTTCTGTCATCGTTATATTGGTTATTGAATTGTTAAAAAAAAAAAAAGAAAAACCATCACCACCGCCAACAGATAAAAATGTGTTATTAAGTGGAAGTCAGCAGACAGCTAGAGCTGAAAAATCTAGAGATTAAATTAAAGATAAACCAGGATGAGAGGATCTGATACCTGCATCTCCTGACACCCCTGAGTAATGTTAGAAGCTAATGACCTCTTTTCTGGAAGAAACCAACTGGTTAATAACCCAAGGAGGGTCTATCAGCTACTGACTAAGACAGATACAGATAGTGAGCAGATAAGAAATTTCTTCTTGGGGAAAGAACCACACAAAGCACAAAAGGAACTGTATGCAATTTTTTTTTAGTTGTTAGTCACGATTGCATGAAAGACAAGGCAACAAAAAAGTGATGCTTGTCAGGAAAGGGACTGCTGTGTATACAGGTGTGTGCCTCTGTGGTGTGTGTGTGTGTGTGTGTGTGTGTGTGAGAACATGGTGGGTACGAGCAGGCTGCCTCATATTTATTTCTGTGTTCCCACAGGTACCTCATACATCAAGCCTTGAGGCTTTCCTCTGAATGAGCTTGATTTTGCACACGCCAACATCAATGGCACATACTTTAATCAACAATTCTGTAACGATGTACTGTGCTTATTGCCCTCACTTACTGTTACACAGTCTTTTTTTTTTTTTTTAATGAACAGTGTAGAAAAGGAGCTTTCTGCAGAGCTCAGCATTGCTTTTTCCTGTTCTTTATGGAGGTCAGAAGAAGGATTCCGATTCCTGAGCAGGCCTCTGAATCCACAGGACGTGCACTAGGGGACTTTAGTTGTGTAGGCAAAGCCGGAGGGCTCTCGGTGTGAGAAGTGAGAACAGACAGCATTTTCGTTCAGTGTTCTGCATTCAGACAAGTGAACGAAGGTTGGGAGCTGCCCGCACTAAGTTAATAGCTAAGGAGACTTGAGGGAGGAAGCAGCCGGCTGTATCTCTAGCCACCTCTCTCTGTCCCGGTCAGTGTGTGTGTGTGTGTGTGTGTGTGCATGTGTGCGCGCGCACATGCATACTTGATGCACAGGTGGGCTCTGCTTTGGACATTCACTGAGCCATCGACACATTCTATTCAATAGACCTCTGGAGATCACCCTCCATTGTCCTTGGGGACTCTTTTTGCCCTGCTGAGCATGGCCTGTGACGTACCTGAATTCATGCTTCATATACGTGGACACAGCTGTCCTTGGATCCTGCTCTTCAGACTGCTTTGTTTTCCCTCTTTCACGTGTGCTAATAGTTGCAAAGCGGGAAGAGGTATTTATTGTGTATATTAGAATGCATTCTTTCAACTCCACAATGGATTTCAATTAAAGAGAAATAAAGAATCCACCTTTGGTAAAATGGGCACTTCAAGGAACCTGTCCAAACTCCAGACGCATAATAAGACAGTCCAAATCTAATTGCTCATTTCACTCCTGTTTCTTTCAGAACTGTGTCTCTTTAAATCTACGGAGGACAATATTCCTTCTGGCCCACAGGATGCCAAAATGACTTGATGATTTATTTATGCAGCGCTTGGCAGCCCATAGTCCAGATTGTGGCTGAAGCTGAATTTTATGAGCCTTCCCCTAGTGAGTATATTTTAAAATTATATTAAAAATATATTTTTTGAAACCTCAGTCCTGTTTGGACCAGCCTCAGGCCCTGACAATGATGGTGATAGGACTAAAGAATTAATATTGCTAAGGACTTAGCAGATGAAATTTTTATTGTAAGAGCTTAGAAAACTATTAAGCTTTCATTTGGCAAAGGGGAAAAAATGATACTCAGGCCTAAATGCTTTAGTGCTACTGAATATGACCTTTTCTATTTGCAGCAGTTTATCTGGTCATTCAACAACTGTTTATTGGGCTTCTTACCGTGTACCCGGAAGTATTCCAGACTCAGGGGACTGCGAGGAGCAGAGAGACACTGTCACATCGCTCCAGGAGCAGACATTTCAGAGGAGGCAGATGGATGACAAACAGGTGAGTCAATACGGCAGGTGAGCAGAATGATTTCACGTTCCTGTAACAATAAGCCCCAGGTAAGAAAAAGGGAGTCTGAGCTGAGATATGCCTGCGAGGCAGCGAGTTTGCAGTTTTGCCCCAAAGGATAGCTTCTGTACCGTTCGATCAGAGAAGTAGAGCATCTGGCGAAAACAGCTTCCTGGGTAACTTTCCTTCCATAAAATCCAGGTCAAACAAAAAACTATGCCCTCAAGCTCAAATCAAAGGATTTAGACCAAGATATCAGGAGCTGAAGATACCAAGTGGTCTGGCAATGTGGTTCTAAAAGCAGCTTCAGTTCAGTATTGTGGGTTTAAATTGTACAGGATCCGTGGAAAATTACCGTAAGGAGACTGTATTGGTCCTCTATTTGTTCTGACAACAAAATACCTAAGACGAGCTGTTACAAAGGAAAGAAGTTGATTTCAGCTCCTGGTTCTGGAGGTGCACGGTCCAAGAGTGCATGGACCACCCTGGTTCAGCGTCTGATGAGTGTGGCGACAGTGGAGCACGGGTGCAGGAACAGTCACACGCCAGCCAGGAGCAGAGAGAGGAGCGAAGCTGTAAAAGCCAACTGAGTTCTCCTGAGAACTGCCTTCCATGGCCATGACTCCAGGGACTCCCTGCTGGGCCCTCAGGGTACAAACACTGTAACGGATCTAGTTTAACATAAGATGTTGGGGCTTAATAGTTACACAACTGCATGAGTTGGGGAGCCATATCCCATTCAAACCATAGCAGAGGACCACATTTACGAAAGATGAAATAAGGCCAGAGAGACAGGGCTTTTTTTAAAAAAAAATAGATTTATTTGTTTTTTATTTAAGGAAAGAGAGAGAGAGAGAGAAGGAGGGAGGGAGGGGGGGACAGACAGAAGGGAAGAGGGAAGGAGGGAGGGAGGGAGAGAGAGAGAGACAAGGGAGGGGAAGGAGAAGAGGAAGGAAGAAGGGAGAGGGAGAGAAAAAGATATCTTCCATCTTCCATCTGCTGGTACATTCCCCAAATGCCCACAATAACAGATACCAGGCCAGGACATAGCCAAGAGCCAGGAACTCCATGCTGGTCTCTGACATGGGTGGCAGGAACCCAAGTACTTGGGCCATCATCTACTACCTCCCAGGTCATCGTCTACTATCTATGTTCCTGAAATCTGGATCAGAAGCAAAGTAGCTGGGAACTGATCCCAAGCTCTCCTGTAAGGGTTGCAGGTATCAGAAGTGGCAACTTAACTCATTATGCCACACTGCCTACCTGGGGCAGGGCTTTGATCAGTGGAACAAAATGTGGCACAGCAAAGATAAGAATTTAGAATTCTGGTTGGGCTTTACTGACAATTGTTAATAGTAATACCTCCTACTTGGATACTACTTTTTTTTTTTTTTTTCAAAAATACACTTCAAATTTTTATATCCTGTAATTCCCATACCAATCCTGGAAGGTATTACAGTCCTCATATTGGATGAAGGAACTAAGTCACAGAATAATCATGCCAGCTCAAACAGTGGTGAAACTTGTATTTTTATCAGTTAGCCATTTACTAAAAAATGCTGATACTACACAATTTTAAAGCAAATGTTCTTTGTGATTACATTACATACTACTTCTGCAGCAAGTTGAAAGTAAAAACTTCTAATAGTCCATCATTTTAATTCTAGTTGTACCCATTTTTATGTAGAACTAAAATTTTACTTTAAAAGTACAAAAACATGGGAGGGCTTTTCCCACAGCTGTTAAGACATTGCTTGGAATGCCAGCATGTCATGTCTGAGTGCCTGGGTTTCAGTCCCAGTTCCACTTCTGATTCCAGTCTCCCGCTAATCACACCATGGGTGGCAACAGCTTATTGCCAACATACTTGAGTTCCTACCACACATCTGGAAGACTTAGATTGAGTTCTTGGATCCTAGATTCAGCTTGGCCTGACCCAGCTGTTGCAAACATTTGAGTAGTGAATCACTATATGAAAGATATCTCTTTCTCTCGTGTGCGCGCTCTCTCTGCCATTCAAGTAAAATAGGAATAAATAAATAAATAAATAAATAAATAAAAATTTAAAAAGTACAAAAACAACTACATAATTAAGCAAATGAATTGGAGAAATGCTGATGCTATGTACGAAACTAGTAGGTAGGGACTCAAGTTGAAAGACATGGTTGGCTCTTATTGCTAACATAATGAAATAGATACTACTTCACTTAATACTGAAAAATGATGGTCAAAGGGAGGCCTGGGGATGTGTCTGTGTCTAGATTAGCTGATGTGATGGGTCCTATGCTGCTAAAAACCAAAGCCAGGAACAATCACTATAATGTAGACTGTCACTGAGGAACTTCTGGGCAAAGGGAAAAATTAATCATTCAAATTCAACTCACTTACATCATCTTAATATCCCTTTTTGGTAAACAGAGACTTTTTCTCAAACCATAAAATGTTTAAGAATTTATCACTTAGTAAAGAATAGTTGTAATTGTTACCATGTAACATTAATTGAGTGTCACAAACATTTTAATTAATTTATTAGATACTAGTCATGTGCAAGGATGTTACATAGAACATGAAATTAGACACTTTTCTGCCTATTGAGTGTCCAATTATAATTCAATAGAAAGATGCAGTTCAATAGTTTTAAGCTAACATGAATCTATCACCAGTAAACTTAATAATCATTATCTTTTTCTAAAAACAAAATGATTTTACAGTTTCTCCTGTAGTCTTCATTACACGAGCTTTTTGGGTGAGTTTGCCATGTGAGAATTATGTATGTGTCCCATTGAAGGTATTTAAGCATAGATTTGAGCTAGGAGTAGAGCAGATTTGTTGTCCAGATGTAACGAAGAGGAGAAGAGTCAGTCTAGTAGATGTCCCTTCCTGGCACGTGCACAGCTAGTACAACACTCAACTGACTGCTAGGAAGAGCTTAGGCATGGTCACGCCAGGCAGTTTCATCCACATTCCAGAGGGGAGCTCTTCAATTCATTCGTTGTCTGGATCTCCTGGGACTTTATAAAATATTGATTCATCCAGAGTCAAAACTGAACTAGTCTCATCCTTTCTCTATACAATGGCTGGGTTTTTTGTTTGTTTGGTTGGTTGGTTGGTTGATTGGTTTTGGTTTTGGTTTTGGTTTGCTGCTGGTGGTGTTATTATTCTAGAAAATTCCAAGTCAAAGTATCAATAGGCACCATATTACTGATGGAAAATCTAACTATGGAATCAGCTAGATCTAGATTTCAGTCTCACTAATAACACTTTCAAGGTGAATGTGCTCTTTGAGCTTCAGTTTCCTTATTTTTAAATGGGAATGACCATGTCTACTTCATAGGACATTATCCAGATCAAATAAGAAAAGAGCAAAGCATACAACATCCAGTAAGTGCTCAAGCGGCAAGCCCCCTTACCTCTTGACTTCTGATGACCATGCCTTATAGATTTATTTGCATCTCACATAGCGTTTCAAGTCACAGATGCACAATGTGGATTTTCTGGCTCGGTTTCATTGGACTGCATATTTCATGTGAAATGTTTGAAGTACTTCACTGGGAGAGTGAAGCCTTCCTCTGGTGCCATCCTTGGATTTCTTGCTCTAAAGCCATTGTGTAAAGAGAGAGTTATAGAGCACTATTAGTTTCCCTTGAATAGGGATCAAGTTAAGCTGTCCTACCTTGTCACAGAACACAAGGTAGAATGGGGAAAATGAGGCCTTTAGGTATTATCCTCAAAGGTAATATTAAATTCCGCTTCACAGTTAGAACTTAATTAGGATCTTCAGCACATGAAAGCTACAGTTCAAAAATTTAGAAATTCAGGCTAACAATTGCTGAATCCTGTTGATATTACCTTGAAAAATAATCAAATTGATTTAATAATATATATTTTTGGTCCCATCAAATACAGGCATGTCACTTTCACAGAAATAAGAATTTGGTCCCTTTTAATTAATATGACTTCTTAAAGACAAGATTTCTGAATAGTCTCTGTAATTTTTGTAGCATGGTCTATTTTCCTAAGAGCTATCTAGACAGGATCAGTGTTGCTACTTCAAGAGTTATACAATGGAATAGGGGCAAATTATAGGTAATCCCTTTTTCTGAACTAGCTTGAAATAAAAATTAAATGGGCCTTGAGTGTTTGTGAATTGCAGTGTTTCACTGGGGCCATGGAACACTAAGTGAGACTCAGAAACAGGGTGTTAATTCAGGCCTAATCATTTAATTCCACTCTGTTATGCGCCGTATTTATTGCCCTCTTGGATCTGTTTTCTATGGCCTGATAAAGAGACAGTGATTCTCTGAAGCTCAGTCAGGGACCGTTTTATTTATATCGTTAGTTAGTCCAATAAAAGCACTGTCTTCAGATTCCTGCTGTTATTTTCTGTTTGTAGCCCTGTCGTTAACTATGAAAATGCCGACGGGGCTGTTCCTCTCCAGGGCTGGCGTTGCTTTGCTGTTGAAGGGAGCTTGTAAGGAGTGGGGAAAACCAGGGGCAGACCAGGTGTGGAAAAGGCCAGTTTGGTGTAACCAGGTGCAAATGCCAGGGAATCAACTCGGGTTTTAGCAACAATTGTGAACTTTCCATGATTATGTTTGTTAGTGTTATGAAAAGTCCACTGACATTTTGTTAGAATGAACTTAACGCCCTTCTGATCTGTGATTCTGTCTGTGAACCAGACAGGTTTCCTTAAAAAGGTTGTTTACTTTCTAAAAAATTAAACCTTGCTGCAACTCTCCATGAACTGAAAAATAGTTTTAATTTCACACACAAAAATGTGGGATGTAGCTCTATTTTTGTGTATGCATGTCAAGCAAAGAAGAAATTATGAGGAACAACAACGAATGTGCAATAGGATCACACTCAGATCCTCTTTATGTTTAAAAAAATAGTGTTAGCTGCATAGTTTTATGGCTTTCCTAATAGTCTCCAAGGTGATATGGAGAGGTCTAGAATAAGAAAATGATTGCAGGAAATAGATATAGAGATCATTGGAATTAATGATATGGCAATCGGAAGATAATACAGGCA